GGGGGGGGGGGGGGGAGGGGGAGGGGGGAGAGACGTCAATCGAAATCACGCATTATGTCACATAAAAAAAAATTAAAAAAAGAAAGATCGACCATTGGTTGAATATCAAGTAATTTTCATTTAACACCAATTTCGAACATCAAGCGGACATTCTGGTCAGTCTGGTACCGGTGGGTTATGTCTTCAGTTACTAGTTCCAGTACGTCAAGATCTTCAGTTACTAGTTCCAGTACGTCAAGATCTTCATTTACCAGTACAAAACCTAGATTATTTTCGTTCAGCGAGTTGTGCTATCAATCACATTGGCTTTGTGACGTTTGCTCTTTTTGACTTGATGCTACCCCCCCCCCACCCTCCTGATTAAATGTGTCCTGTCGTAAACGTAACCCAGAGAAACGTATGCGTAAATTTACTACTAACACACTCGTGTTAACAGAAGGGATGCAACTGCATTTTACTTTTATAAAAATGTATACGACTTAAGTCTTCAGAAGTTCCACCCCCCCACCCCACCCCAACAAAATGGTGACGATGCCCCTGGTTACACTGTGGTGCAGTTTTATTTGACATGAATGGATTTTCCCATTCATTTTGTTGATCCCTTGCCTGCCAGGTAGATGAAATCAGTAGATATCCAAAACTTGCCCCGATACTACCATAAACAGAAAAGGTGTCTATTGAAAAGCATCCCTAGATATATATATGTTATCTATTTAGACATATATAATATAATCTATAACAAATATACAAGTCATTAACACAAAATTAGCATAAATTCCCCAGTTGCCCAATGTCCAAAATTATCCAGGTGCAGAGAGGGGCGATTTGCTGTCTATGGAAACGGCTTATCCCCCCTAAAGGAAAACCCCAGGCCTTTTGATTTCATCTTGCAAAGTCTACACCATTTTCTACACCATCGTCTACACCATCGTCTTACACTATCGTCTACACCATCGTCTACACCATCGTCACATTGTGATGTTAAAAAAATGTTATGCCTATAATTTATAATTATAATAGTATTGAAAAAAAAGAAAAGATTGCTTCCCCTTACTCATCACCCAACAACTTAAGACTTAAACAAAACAAAAAATTCAAATTTATTGCATTTTGAATTTATTTTCTTTCACACGTTTGATCAATAAATGTCTCATATAACACAGGTAAGAAAATATCATGTCATTCTGTGCAGTGAAACATTCGCACCAAACATCCAAACTTGGAGAGTCATGTAGTCAACAAACATATTCTTTTTCATTCTCTGCTGGTTCAATTTTTTTTTACAAACTAAACTTATATTGCTGCCAAACTGTTCCTCAATCAGCCATTCCAGGTTCAAACTCCCCAAAGTACAACAAATTCGAAATTTCTTTTTTTAACTTACTCAGCCGTGTTAAGAAATCATGGCAACATTTGCGTGTTAAGAAATCATGGCAGCTCTTGCACACATAAGTTTAACATACCAACAATAAAATTAATTATCTGCAAATTACATTTGGAACCAATTTCTTACTTAAACTAGACTTTATTAACTGTAAACTGTACGCAGTGGCCAGGAAACTATATGAGCTTTTCATTATGCTGCTAGCAGGGTTAGGATAAACTTAATGTAATATGTTGGTGGCCAGGAAACTACATGAGCTTTTCATTACGCTGCTAGCAGGGTTAGGGTAAACTTAATGTAATATGTTGGTGGTCGGGGATCAAGTTGAAAAGAAAATACTATCCTGTCAGTGCATTTATAATTTATTCTATTTTTTTTTACACGAGGAAGTAATGATAAAAAAAAAAAATATTTCAATCGCTCTTCCTCTCAAATGGGTCTGTCCACACTTTCATATCTGAAAAAACAAAAGTTGAAACTGATCAAAATTTAATGTTACTGTTGCTGGTATCAGATTTGGCACAACTCTAATGCTAAACACACACAAATAAACTAAGTTAACTCAATGATCTTTCTATACTTTAAAGAAACCTACTTAACTTAAAGTTTAACTATCATTGTGGTTGCTGTGGGAATATAAAGGAAATAGGTATAATCCACTAGTTTTTCTGTAGACAGATGTCTAGGCGCTATTATTTTAGTTTAGTTTGGTTTTCCTGCAATAATCTTGTGGAGATTTAGAATATGTATAAGTAATTTTATTTTATTCAGCTGGCAAATTGTGTGGAGTACATTTATCTTTATAACAGTACCATAGCATCTGATTAGAAATGACCTTAGTAGGCCTAAAAGAGCTAAGGGAAATAACTCAATATTGTGTTCTATAAGTACTAACTTTAATATTTATACAAAATCAGACATTCATCCAGTCCTTAAAAAAAAAATACTTATAATTGCAGAGAAAATATGACATTTCAATTCAAATAAAATACTTCAATTGTTTATAAGATCTGAAATTGTAAAAAAAAATTTCAAAATTTCAAAAAGTTCATTTTTAACAACTATAGACCAAAATCACATTCAAATAATTCAATTGCCTTCCGGTTTTGTGTTATTTGATTTGCTCCACCCATAGCATGTTTCAACCTGAAAACATTTTTCTGTCTTGTGTCCAGTCTTTCGGCAGTGTTGGCATTTCTATTTTCTTACAGGGAATTTAATTTTGGTTTGAGTTTTATCAGCAGCTCCTGTTACTGCTGGTTTTCTTGATGTTCTGCTGGCAGAGTTATTTTTTTTATAATTTATAGGGCTTACAAAGACTGCCAATCAAAAGTCAAATTGAGTATGTAACAATTTTGTCACTGCTGAATGACTGTATGTCCCAGTATATCTGATAAAGACTTTACAACAGCTATTGGAGTAAGAACCCAATAAGGCATCACCATTTCAAACTTCTTCTTCCTAGTGAATAATAGGATATGCACTAATTGTGTAAATCAACACCCCCTCATGCATTGGTTATAAATGATGATCTGTGTAGGAACTTCTTTCTCTGCAAATCTGCTAGCATTTCTTCTAGACACGTTACTCATTATTGGATTTGCATTAGTTGGGAAGCACATTAACAGTTCTTTATCAACCATTGAGAAGCAACAAGAAATTCCTCTCCGTCTCATCATGGTTGAAGTCTTCCTAGGTTTTTCCTTGAGAGCAATGTGCTAACCTTAATGGTTGGTGCTACTAGTTGCACATGAGTAGGTTTTTTGTTTGAAAATTAAGGAAAAGGATGTAAATTTGCGAAGTGAAGTATGGGAAAACCTAAAAAAAAAAGAATGCAACAAAACAAGGAATGTTCCTGACACTTTCTTTATTTTGTTGCGTTCTTTTCTTCAGGTTTTCCCATACTTCATTTCACTCATTTTCCATTTTTTTTAACCTGATTACTCTCCCCTCTTATTACCATGAGGAAAAGAAGCCACCAGAGTAAAAATTATGCCATCGGTATTTATTTTTAAATCTCTCTCAAAGTGTTGTCGTCACATCATTGCCAAGACCAAGGCTATCTGACTGAAAATTTCAGATTCACAAACTCATTTTGCTGTCTGCTGCACACCAAATTTTAATTCTCCACTGGGTATGTTCGATATACTGTTTAAACATTAATCTTCCTATCAAAGCCTCATCAAAGGAAGCTTTCTTCCAGGATAGAAATTGCTAACACTGCAGTTATTTCTCACAAAATCTAGCTTAGTCCTAACTTTGAAAGTAGGATCAGCACCCTTTGAAATAATTTTACTATTATCATTCACATGAAAACATCTCAATAAGAGTTCAAATTGAATTCTACTCATCACTTTAGCTACTGCATGAACACCTCACGGCTCATGACTTGGACAATAGTGTTTATATTCTGGTAGCTGATGACTTCCAAAAATCTTATTGATTAAAAAATCTTAGTTTCATATCACTTTGGGTGGCTTGTTAGAGCTTGCATACATGTTAGTTTGCATTACCAACTCTTCATAGTAAGTCGCAGGGATGAATGTTAAGAAAAGTAATCATGCTATTCAGAATTATAATCATTAAGACCAGTTACATCTAGAAATTTATCAATATCAATCCTAGACCAGTCAGATCTATCAACATTGTCATCATCTTCATCCTCTGGCCCATCTCCATCTGGGTTTTCAAGATATTGAGATAATTTAATACCAACATTACATTCATTTCCATTATCTATTTCTCCATCAAATTCATCACTGTTGCCACTAACAGCCGTCATACTAGAAGTTTGAAGCGATTCTAGAATGATCATTTTCTCAGCGTAGATCTATTGTCAAAAAAGCACTATTTTAAAAAAATCGACAGTATTGTAAAAATTAAGGGAACTGCTACATTCACCAAACCTCAACAAACAAGAGTTTTATACTACCTATTTATAAATAGGCTTTTTTTAACTCCTTAATAAGGAGAGTTAAAATCACTAGGCATCTTTTATTGTGGCGCACTGCTTGCGGCAAGATTTGCTGAATGAAGCGTAATACCTGGAAAGCAGTAACGCTTCTCAAATGGTTAATATAAATTTAATCCTCCCTGATGAAAAAGAAATAATATCAATTCCCCCCACCATTTGATTTTTAATGAGGTGGTGTATAGAGCTTACTGCCTGGTTGTATCTTTTCTCTGTCAATACCTTGCCTGCTTCTAATTTGTTCTTCTTCTGAAACAAGAAGGTAATGTTTGTAAATTATGATGAATTTAATTAATTCAAATATAATTAAATCTAACTCAAAGTTCTATCTAAAAATTATTTGATTTATTTGTGTATGGTTTTATCTCTCCACTAAAACACTTATGTCTGCTCACAGTAACAAAATCAAATTCTCAACAAACTAAATAATATTCCAAAGCTATCAAATTTTAATCCGTTTGAGCCTAGTTCATCCAGAATTATGCTAAGGCCAATTAAAGAGTAACGGGTAGTAATGATATTATCATTATGTTTTAGCAAAGGTTATGGTGCATAACACTCTGCCACACACTGAGCATATTTGAGTCATCTTTAGAGAAGGCACTTTCATTTTAAGTCATCCATTTTAAGGGGCCATCCATAAAAGATGTCACACACTGGGATGGGAGTCTCACATTACTGTGATTATGTGTGATGTGAGGATGGAGGTTTTAACAATGAGATGTCACATAAAAAGTGGAATTAAAACAACTTACACTAAATTACAGTATTTTTAACCATTATTCATTTATACACCAATTTTAATTATTTCATTTTCCTTCTTTATGTTTGTAAATGTTTGATTATTTGTTGTATATGATTTAAACTCCCATCATTTTCATTATTAATAAGTACACATAGAACTAGTTCACAGGTATGTGAGGTTGTCTAAAATGGGCTCTGGGAGGAGATTAAGTTACAGAATTGAATAGAGAATGAGATTCTAAAAGGGCAGTGACATTGAATGCCATGATAAATTATGTTTAAAAAAGTGGAGGACTGGAGTCTGGGAATTAGAAGAACTAAAAAGGGAAGGAATGAAAAATAGTTGACAGGGCATATAATATATATTCTAGGGCTAAGGTTCCTGAATTTTTCAAGTCACTGCTTTCTTGCTGCATCCATATTTTTCTCTAGGCAACCTTTGTCCAATTCTAACAAGTGCACAGTGCAAAAGTCAAAAGCAATATTTAAATGGAATATTTTATTCAGTTCTTGACAGCCCTTGAGAAAGCTGCCGGCCCCAGAGCCCAGCGGCACACAGTCTTGGAACCTCTGCTCTAAGGAATTATTTCTGACAGGGGTGTAGTAATTCAGATATTAATGGGATGGGAGGGGGGCATCATTGGGATGGGGGACATTAAAAAATGATGCCACAATATTATGGTAAATTTTGGACTGCCCCCACCCTACCCCGTGCCCATTGTTACAAATTTCTACAAATTTAGACAACCTCATAAATATCATAATGATAATTCATCATCAGAAATTCACGACTGACCCCCATAGGAATCTTTTTATAGTTCGTAAACCAAATGGTTACAATTAAAGACTCAAAGGCAGCACGACTATTAGTGAATTTTCCTACAGAACTACACTAGCGAATTTATTTTAGTATTTTTAGATATGAAAAAGAACAATATTTAAGATGACAGTCTGAAAACCACAGTGAGACAGTCATTTTTTAAAGAATTTTTAAATTTTGCTAATAATTAAGCTTTAGTTAGTGTATAAGATTAAGAAGACAATTTGACCAAATGATAAATTCAAAAAAAAAAGGGGGGGGGGGGCAGAGGTTTGTGACAGTTTGAGTCAAGATTATGCATTTATATAGGGCATATTCATATTAAAAATTATACAGTGTTAATGCCTAACTTATTAGTAATTAATTTACTGTAGCAGTGTAGGCCCATTTTATTTCCTATACTATTCATATTAATTTACAATGTCACAAGTCACAAGCAACACTTTTTTTACTCACTCCAGGGAGTAGGATTCAGGAAAGGGGCAATTATTACAGAATATGATGCAACAACAATACCTCCAACAACTGTACCAATAACAATTATTGATTTAAAATTACGTTTAACTGAATTCATTTTCGAATCTTTAAGAAAATATAAATTAAAGTTTTTTCGGGAATTATATCACAATCAGTACCAGCTCCTCAAGTTGCCATTTGTTTACTTGACCTTCTTTAAGAGTCACTCCCCCTGGTATATAAGGCACGGGCATGTTACCTTTTGCAGTTCTCAAATGGACAAAATAATAAAGTTATAAATTAAGATCATTATTAAAAATGTATTTGTTATTACTCAAGTTAAAAATAAATAATATTTAAGTGAACGTAATTGTTAAACAAATATTCGGTTTAATGAATATTATGTTTGGGACTAAATTTACTGCCAGGAAGGTTTCAGCAATTATTTAGTGCGCATACAAAATTAACCGTTTTAATATAATTGTATACTTTCAGGTGTCTGTAATTAGACATTTTAACATGACTTTAAATTTTAAAAGCTTTTGGGTTTAGTTATTTCTAATTGAATTCACATTTTTAACATTCACAATTAGATATTATTATTTTTTTATTATAATCAATTTTTTGCTTAAAATGTAATATTTATGTGCACACCTGAATAATTCCTTTAAATGAAATTGTTTTAATTAATCAAATGATGTTACTTAATGTTTTACTGTAATGTTAGGTACGGATAAAAGAGAGAGAGAGAGAGACATATATCATTTAACGGCTGCTCGCATTTGATTTGTTTCTGAACTATTATATCTTTACCTGGCAGTTCCGGTGTGTAGTTTACTTGAGTAAATAGCGATTCTGTGTCAACAAAATGTTATAGTAGGTACTCAAAACTTAATAAAATAAACTTTTATTTTCGTTAGAAGTATCTATTTAAATCAGAATGGCTGGATGCATTCCTTTGTACAAGTTATATCATATTCAATTAAAATGTTTGTCAACATATGTAGATAGGCTACCTCTACTCTTTTTGTTTTATGAATTGACAAGAAAATCAGAAAAAAGTAATGAACTGTAAAGTGTAAAGTAAATGTAAACGCAGGCAAATTTACAATAACACTAAGTAACAGCCATGCAATCTGCAATGTCAAATAAATGTGCATTGTGGTGTTCATATACAATTTAGTAAAATCAAATAATAATAGTTTTAATAGTCAGTGCTAGTTGTCAGTTGTTACATAAACTACTGATAAACACAAAACATTCCAGATTTGAAAATTAGCTTGGCAACTAGGGCAAAGGCAAAAGCACAATTGAAACATTTAGTAATATTTTGACTTCTAATACTTTTATTAGTAGTGTTAGTTAAGTTATTTTATTAAAATTAAAAGCTATGACTGTGTTAATGGCTAACTAATACTAATACAGTACTACCTGATGTAGCCCTGTGATCACTAACACTAACACTTATTTCGGTATATGTTTGGTCGGCACGCCTCTTATTTCCCATGGCTGCCATCTTGGTTGCCATAACAAGAGACGAGTCATGGCAACCAAGATGGTGGCTGATTAAAAAATTAGTGCAAATACACGTCTGCTTAGATGAGGAGGTGAAAGAGAGATAATATTCTGTTTTAGCTACACACTGAGAGAAATGAAAATAGAAACAAAACGTTAAAATTCATTTAAATAATTTTGTGACAAATACCTTCAATCCTAAAATCGACTCTTCTACCTAACCCAAATGCAAAGTCAATATCCCTAATTCAAGGGTAAATTACACAGTAACATTTGTCCCCCCTAATGTGAATGGAAATTCATTACTAAATTTAGTCCCACCTAACTTAAGCATGAATCTTATCTTCAACCTAAAATCTATGAGCTTATGCCTAACATGAACTCTAAAACCTTGTGTTCATGTTCTACAGTACACACAATACTTTAATAAGAAAAACCTTCAATTTGAATGAAAATATTAAAATTATTCTTAAACTATGAAAAACAAAATTACAATTTCATCAAATACGCTTTTACACACTTCTTTATTGCAGGTTCCACCAAAAATAAAATCCATAAGTAGTCAGAAGCATCAATACCCATACCAGGATGCTGGAAAAATTTAGCCTTGTTTTAAATATTTTGATTAACCACCGAATGAAATGTTAATTTGAAACATTCCATTGGTGTATTGATATTTAAAAAAAAAAGAAAAATGAACTCTAGTAACAATCCAAGAGTAAACAAAAGGGAGATAATCCTACACAAAAAATCAAATACTATCTTTTTTAATGGAGTCTTTTATAACTGAGGATCTTAAACGATAATAAGATTTCTGATTATCAATTTAGCAGTGTTTCTCAGGGGTAACACTCCAGTTCTGGTTACCTAACTATGGTCTCAAAATGGAACTGGAAAAGAGTTGATAGGTCAGTTATAAAAAATAGACTTGCAACTACTGATTATGATCTTTCCTATAAAATATCATTTCAATATGACCTTGCTGTTACAGATAGTTGGGAATGCATTTCTTGTAAAAACTGGTAACCTGCTGCCAAAAAATGAGGTTAACATCCATTTCAATAGCCTATTAATTAATTTCAAGCTCTTTAATAATATGCAATTTAAAACTCATTTATTACTAAATAATTATTTGAATACACTTGAATTTTGTGCAGCCTACTGACAAATTGTTTCTAAGTTCTGAAAGGGGATGTAACAATGTTTGTAATTAAAAATTTAATATTGCTGAACAAAATTCTTGCACAAATACAGATGTATTGGTGGTGCATGTCTTGAAAAATGAATAAATATTTGCTTAAATTCTTTATCAGAAATAGATAATTGCATTTATCAGCTGTCAAATAGGAATGCTAACATTAAAATTCTAATATCAAAAAGGGATATTATCTCTTAGTTGGTATGCAAATTATCTATTTCCGAAATTCAATTATAATAAATGAGTACAGTTTAATTTGACCTTCATGTTAGGCACTACTTTGTTGTTAAGCTGGCCCTATAAAACTGCACTCAAGGGGCGAATTTCAGTGACTAAGCCATGATGACTGCTTGCAGTTTGTTGCACAGATTTGTGTTGCTGTCTAAAAACTCTAAAAAAAATAGTATTGATACAACTTGTAACTATTTTTCTCAGATGGATACAGATTGTGAAAATCATTGAAATATTTTAAGCACTTTCATTACATATTGGCAAGAACTGAAACTCTTTAGGAAAATAGGCATCAACAACTCCATATTTTCAATTCTTGTAGGCGTATTTCTTGTTTAAAATGTTAAATTCCTTTTGTTGTGTAATTAATAATGTTTTAGGCTTTTAATTTCAGTTAAGAAAATAAAAATTAATATGATCATACTTTAACATCCTAAGTTTTAAACAGTCTGCTAAGCAAGTATTGGAGTACATAATCAAAGTATGAAGGACAATAAAACCAATAGCTTTTTAAAATTCGATTTCTTAAAACCAATTTAACGTTAAAAAAAAAAAATACTACATTATTATCACGCTTATCCTTTACTTAAATCAAAAAGAATACTTGACCTCTTTTAAGATTTCAGTTTATAGTTTCAGGATAAAAATTTAAAATTGTGCAGGGTGTAGGTTAGGGATTATAAAAGAAATGTTTTTAGAATTATACTGTTTGATGTTAGGAGTTGCAGTTTGGAGTACCTAGTTATAATATGTGACATTTTCAGTTTCATCTGACTGGATTAAAAAAAAAATTATCAAGGTTTTTATTCAAAGACGTCTCCAGAATAGTGTTCAGTATAGCTTAGATGTGACTTGTGGAGAGACATAACATTTTCATTTAGGTAAGTTATAGTTCTTTTAAAGTTAATAAGTAAACTTATTTACAAGTGTATTAGAATGGTCCCTAGATAATTCAAAGTTTGTGCAGTGTTTAAGATTTCTGTACTTATATCCGCACTTCATGTTTTTAGGGCAAGTTGAATTTGTACTGACAATATAAAGGGTTTGTATACTTCTGAATCTCTGCGAAAAAAATTCGATATTCTACCTTTTACGGAACAAAAAGTTACAATTCAGGAGAAAAACACCAAGGATTTCATTTAAAAATAATTTTACCTTTTATAGTTAAAAAAATAATAAACTGCCACTGTTCGAAAGAGACATTCAGAAAATTGTTAAATTATGAACTACTGTACGTCCAATCAGTGACTCAGGAATTTGTATCAAATATGGCCTCTAGCCCTTTCCAGCCCCAAACTTGTGCTGTAACAAAATCCCAACCAATTGTATTGTTTGGAGAGCCTGAAGAATTTTAAATTTCCAAATACAGCCTTTGGAGATTTGTTTTCCTGATCCATTTCTTTTTTTGTTCTGCACCAATGAAGCATTATATTGTTTGGTAGTAAATGTTCATCAGCATGCTAATTTTATAACAAAAAACACTTGAAGAAGAATCTATAAGAATTGAGAATAAGCTGCATACGCTGGAACATATGTCCCAAAAGGAGACGACAAGAAAATTGTATTTTAATGTTATGCTAGAAGCGGCATACGCTGAGAAGAAATGTACGCACGTTTAACCTTTCTCTTTTCTGATATCCTTGTTACTGTTATTATAATTACTCGTCAGAATGATCATGACCCGTGCAGATACATTAGTGGATGTCAAGTTGGGGTTAATTGCTAATTTCTAAGCACTGGAACAACACATATCAATTATGTATACAACACTTCACAGAAATATTAATAAAATATGATGAATAATGGAATGATCATTTAATACAGTTCATAATACATCCATTTCTCTTTTGAAATAACCTGTGAAGTCACTCAAACATTCTATCATTTTTTAGCCGTGAGACGGGATCTTCTTTACAGCATTTCCATCCATTACAATATGGCTAATCAAATAGCTCCTCATCCTCTATAATTATATGTATGTATCACTACCCTGATATCACAAAGTAGTGCTTTCCATTCAGCAGCAAATGAATATTAAATATTTACAACAAGGTCGTCTTAGTTTAGGTCAGATTTTAACCCAATGCCCATAAAATTTACTAAAGTCTGGACTTATATGTGCATACAGTCAACCTGACATCTGCCCATAGACAATCCTGACTGATATCTGCCCAGAGGCAATCTGACTGCCATCTGCCCGTAGACAACCCTGACTGATATCTGTCGATAGGCCACCCTGACTGACACCTGCCTAACTACTTATACACATATTTATTGTATA